CGGTACACCTCACTGGAAGGCCGTGAAAAATATCCTCAAGTACTTACGAAGCCTTTACCAAGGTCGGTCCACGAGAAACATCGAGAGTCGATGGGATTGCGATTCATGGGCAGTTGGCTTTAGGTTAAGTGGGAGATTGTTAGAGTAGGTGACCAAAAAGCCAACTTGCGGTTGTGGTCTTTCCATTTATTAGTGTAATAAATAAACGTTTTTTCGTATTAATGATAAAAACACCTTGGCATTCTATATATTTGTCCCTTTGTCACAAGCGTAGATATAGTCCTTACAGTTATTACAAGTACTAGTAATTGATCGTTAGGATCGTGAGATATTTACTTTAGTATTATAACTGTTAAACGTGTTCCTAGTCGAAGGGTTACGCCACCAATGAGAATATCGGCATTTCCTATTAAGAGACTAGCACTTAGTGTATATGTACTGCATCTCATCAGTAAATGGTATTGTGATATCGGCCTGCATAAGTGGGTGCTCGTAAGTTGACGAGATCACTGAACTCCCTCACCCTAGAAATCTCTAAGTGGTTCTCAATAATCGAGTAGAGATATCTATGGTATAGTTGTACACCATTAGTCCTTATGACCTAGACATCACCGTGACTTCACTATAGCACCAGCTGTATTGTGACCTGTCCCTGAGTTCCATCGAGGACCGCCCCAAGGTCCAGTGTTCGTGTAGTCCGAAATCTAGTGGGAGGTATGTGCATTGTAGTCGGGGATTCGATCGGTAGAATAGTCTTGGATGTCCTGTGTGTTCTCATAGTTTGTAATCTCTAAGTCTCTGGCCAGAGCTGACTAAGTGATGATTAGAGAATTTGATTCCCTAAGTCATGCACGTAACGATTACAACACTTAGAACGATCACACAATCATTGAACTACTAAGGAGGTCTCGATGAGCCAATGCCTCTAGTTCAATCGGGACATATGAATCGAAGGGATCGTACTGTACGTTAACTATATCAAAAGGTTCTTGCAGGCACTTCATTTGTATCTAGGGATCATGACGCGTAGTTTCTAGACGCCAATCTTGATTCGTTGGGTGAATAAGGTAAAACGAGCTTCATGTTAATCGTAACTCTAAGGGACGAGTTTTGACCACAAAGGGTTGTGGGCCCATGGCTAGCTTACACCTGAACCATCGAGGGTCACACTGCTCGCGCACATGAGATCTTTGAATGAACGGTCAGAGATGAAAATGTTTTATCTTTGCATGATTGGAAGGTAATATGATTGGGTCCAACATCCGTAATTTGGAATTATGAATGAGAATAAGAGAAGGAAAAGAATAGACGAAAATCTTAGTGAACTTTCTAAATCAGGAAGTTTCCAAATTTAGAAAGTGCACTGAATTAGGGTTTCCACTTTCGGAAAGTGAGAAATCGAGAGTTGGTACTCGTAATGACGAGGAAATTATAATGATTCCGAAAATGTAATCGTTACAATTTTCCAATCATTGAATTGAGAGAAACGAGTGAATAAAAGACTAACGAACTTAAGTTGTTGGGCCCGATCCAACTTAAGCCCGTTAGGGCTGTTATGCAAGACACAATAAATACTTGATTTATAGGTCTTGCACATAACACACAACCCTGACGAAACCCTAGCCGCTCATCTCTCTCTCTCGTCCGATCTCTCCCGCGACAACCATCGTCGCCGTCGCCGTCCATTCGCCGGAATCGGCCTCCCCTTGGCCGATTAATCGTGGTAGATCCTTTTCCTTCTTATTCTTTCCGTTTATTCTAACTACTGCGTGTCTAGTGCCATGTTTTAGTAGATCGAAGTATACGAGGTGAAATTCGAGAGGAGGAAGATCGAAGAATGGAAGAAACGAGGAGCAGCCCCCGAGCTAACGACGCACGCGCCGCCCGAAGACAGCGCGTGAACCACACGCGGCGCCGTTGCTCACGCCCTCACCGCCGCCGCTTCGCCGCCGCTGCCCCGGATTGTACGAATTGGTTTCCGTGGCAATCTTGCTTCGTTTCGTGCGCCTACCTCACGCTTCAAGAGGTAAAGTTTCTAATCCGTAGTTATTCGATTCAATTTAATTTAGATTAACTATGTATGTTCGTATCGTAAATATATTGTATGCATTTATGTATGTTATGTGATTACATAGCATGATTAATTGATTTAATGCGAGCATGCTAGTTGATTTTATGTTGATTAAATAATTCGCATGTATGTTGTTTTTAATTTCACTGGAAGCGCAAAGGTACGCAATTAATTGTTTACAATTATTCGTCATGTGATTATGTGTTTTAACTTCGTTTAATTCGCATGAAATTTTTGTTTTCCACGGTGTACACATGTCCGATTCCCAACAAAAGTGCCATTGACCCCTTATTTTTATGTTTTTTTTATTTATCGGCGGACTATTACGTATTTTTGGGCATTTTTTTATTATCGGCAGACTACTAGTTATTTCTATGTTTTTATTATCAGCGGACTACTACTTCGCCCCAAATAGATCACAAGAAAGATATACTCTATTTCCAGGGCTAGTACAACGCACCAACTTTACACCAAGATTCTTGACAGTCGTTTTCGCCAATTTTGTTCCGTTACTACAAAATGCTCACTATGATCCAAACGTAGAAGAATTTTGTTTCTCTTCCTAAAGTAATTACAAACAAAATACGTTAAAGAGTAGCGACAATAATAGTAGTAAAAAAAAAAAGGCAGAAGTGGTCAGGGCCCAAACCGGGCACGAAAAACAATGTTGCGCGCCCAAACAAGACACGAAGGAGTACTGATAATACAAAAAAAATGCAGAAGTGGTCGGCGCCCAAACCGGGCTCGAAAAGCAGTGTTGCGCGCCCAAATCGGACGCACAAAGGCCGATTCTTATCGAATCTTCAAGTTTTGGTCTTCGTTCGTCTGAGTGTTCAGTTTTATTTGTACATATTATGCGTTTCTCGTTTTATTTCTATTTTAAGTAAAGATAAGCTATTTTTTCCGATTCTCTATGATTTTGGAAGCGAAGCCGAGAACCAAACCAAACACGTGCAAAAGTGCATTCTAGTGGACTATGGCAGTGTTCGGTATTTGACGCACAACTCTCTCATATGAGCTCCGACTGAGCTAATTCAAGTGGAGTTAGAATGCCAACTTCAAGGGCTACAACTCTTGTGAAATGCATATTTGTCAAATTCAGGCTGACAAATGGTCAAAACAATGTTTGAAGTTGATGCAAAGGCTAGATCGCGATCGGGGGGTCTCACATAATGTTTTTCGATCCGGACCCAAATTGCGATCCAGCCTTCCCTTATCACGATCTGGGGGGTCTCACATAAAGTTTTTTGATCAAGAACCAGATCGCAATCCAACATTCCCGTGTTGCGATTTCGCAAGGCGATGCACAATTTCCGAGGCAAGATATTTGTGTTTTGCAAGCCTACTATAAATAGAACAAGCCCTCTCCAATTTTCGACTTCTTGAAGACTTCTTCGGTTTTCTCTCCGCTTTTCACCAGTTCTTCGCGGGAAGCTTCGACGACGGTTTCGACTCGGGTTTTTCATAAGCCTTTTCTTTACGTTTAGTTTATGATTTCTCGTGTTCGTAATTTTGATGCTATGTTTGTAATGAATTGAGCATTTTCTTTTTGGTAAATGAAACCTTGTATATACTGATTTTGATTTCCAAATCTGAGATCTATTTGTCGTTCTTTGGTTATGTTTATGTTTTCCTGTATCACATGTTTTCGATTGTTTGGCCAACATTTGAATTGATTGTAAATGAGAATGAACTCGAGAGAGAATTTCTCGGTTGATTTTATGAAAACATAGCTCATGTTGTGGAAACGGAGACGTGATGCACCTTGGGTAGCCCTTAAGAACTTGGCCTAAATGCTTTGTTAATATCATGTTCTGAACGGAGACGTCAGACCTGTGGGTAGACTCTAACTACACTGGTGACGGGGGTTGGGGTATTTTAGTGTCTGAGTTAGCGAATATAGAATTGACATTAGATTTGGGTATGTAGATCTTTATATATAGTACACTGGTGAATTTTACCCTAGAAGCCAGCACACGTCGGAATTCCTTGCTTGTCCTGGCGGACCGTTGTTTTTATTATTGTTACTTTTAACTTCATTTCGCCCATCATTTTCCGATCGTCTAGATAAAGTTTAGGATAGTATAATTACGGTACTTGGTAAATTTAGGAACTTAATTCCATGTGGATCGATATCAGGAATTCACTATTCTACAAAACGCGATATTGTACACTTGCGGTTATTCATACATAGGTTTTACGCGTATCACGTGGATAGCGTGCAAATCAATTTTCCATGCTTGTTTTGGTCGTGAGCCACGTTTTCACAATTTATAGAATAGAAACGAACAAATTTTACCTCATTGGATTGTGTATCTCGATCCTCATTTGATGCACTAATTTTCTTTTGTAAATCGCTACAATAAGATGGGTTTCGAGACAATTTCTAATATAAAACTTGAGAGGATTTTTTTTAGAGAGAGAAAAAGAAGTAGATAGTGAATTATTGTAAACCCGTATTCGTTAAAATGCTACTGCGAATAGGAGTGTGAACGAGACGAGCTCGCCTCTTTTGGCAAGCTCGAACTCGAGCTCGAGTCTATTTTATTGAGCTCCAGCTCAAGCTCAATTTTTTATTTTTATTTTTTATTAACTATTATTTAAAATTATTCAAAAGTATTACAAAATAAATAATAAATTGTAATTATATATATATTTTTAATATTTATATTTTATTTTTATTTATTTATGTAATACTTTATATTATTATACATTATTTAAATAAAAAAATAATAAAAATATAAAAATAATAAATAAGAATTGCGAGTTGGCTCGTGAGCTCATGATCAAATAAAAACTGACTCGAGCTAGGCTCGTCAGAAAGCTACGAAAAACTCAAGTTCGAGATTAAGCTTTTTTCAAGCCGGCTCATCGAGCTCACTAGTCGGCTCGGCTTGTTTACCTAATTACACAATCCACCCCTTTTAACAGTCCTCTCCCAAACCCTAAGCGCCTTTATAATTCTCATAAACACATTCTTCTTCTCTAACTATTGCGGTACACAGCAGCTGAGGGTTTATTTAGGGTTTAAGCAAATTCCCCAACAACCGATTGCGAGACCCAAAATTGAATCAAAATTTCCTCTAATTTTCAATTTTTTTTTTCGGGGGTTTGAAGAAAAAATGGTAGCAGACAAAGGAAAGAAGCAGAAATCGGAAGTGGTGGAGGAAGAAATTAATGGCGGAGAGCACATTGACGGAGAGCTCGTTCTCTCCATTGAAAAGCTTCAGGAAATTCAGGATGAGCTCGAAAAAGTATATTACTTTATCTCATTTTTCTTCAAATTGTTTTTTTTTTTTCGTAATGTTTAATTTTCACCTGCCTGAAAGTGAACAAATTTTGGGAAAAAAAATCTAATCTTTTTGGTTTTGATGTTGATTTTGGTTTTTCACCGGAGCTCATTTTGTTTGTCTCTCCACCTCCGCCCAAAAAAGGAATTTTTTTTTTTAATTAAAATTAAAAAAAATGTTGAAGGCAATTGTTATTCGAAACGACTAAGGTATGATTATTTTTTAATTTAAATTTTGTCTGATGGTTGATTAATTGCTAAGTTAGAACCAAAAAATAAGTTTTCTTGGGACTTTATCTGTATGTAGTAAGTTTAGAAGGTATGGTGCATTGTGTTCACAAGTTGCTAGTTGTAGAACTTTCTGATTTGGCAGCATCGATTTTTCTTCGAGTTTGGATGAATAGACTCTAAGAGAAATGATCTGCCATTTTTCGGTAGAAGAATTTAGCACTTGTTGTACGTTAATATCTAGTGATTGACTGACGACTTTCTTCTAGTGTGTAATTTAGGACAAAACTTCTCTAGTATATTATAAGCATCCTTAGATGTTTGTCATCTTGAAAATCGAATATAGAAACTTCGTACCTTCAGATTTGTAGCTTGCTAGAGAGGGAACATAATATTCGGTTTTGCTTGTGGGACCCCTTTGCAGGGCCGATCATGCAATTTCAGTTTTTTCCAGTTGGAATGTAGTTAAACTTCACCTACATTTATTTTCTTGTTGTCGAATTTCCCGTTTTTATAGCTGGCTCGTGTTATATAATGTCAAATTTCTGTATAGACGCTCATGATCCGCCACATCGAAAAATGTGCCTTGGACCATGTGGTGCACGTGTAATTGAAGCGAGGCACATAAATGCAGAAATATGATTTATATCGGCCTTTGTAAAAAAACAAAATTCCATAAAACTGAAATATCTAAACCGAGAAATAAATTCTGCATTTATTACGCAAGATTCAGCAATTATTTATGCTGTTTTCGAAGTAATTATATACTAATACGATTACTTTATGGAAGCAAATCAAAAAGTCATTACATGCGCATTCTCCCGTGATGTCATGCTGTTTTCTTGTGCATTGGGTTGTGTGTAAATTAAATCATTAAATTATTTCGATTCTTATATTATGGTCGTCTTTCATTGGGTGTTATCCATTTCTTCTAATCATGTAACTAATTATGGCATTTTCTATGCTTTCAGATCAATGAAGAAGCAAGTGAAAAAGTGTTGGAAGTCGAACAGAAGTACAATGAGATACGCAAGCCTGTCTATGATAAGCGAAACGACACCATCAAATCCATTCCCGATTTCTGGTTGACTGCGGTTAGTGTTTATTCAAACTGTTTTCTCTCTCTACGAGAGAAAGTGCAAACTCTGTTTCTCTTGGTCGTAAATATCTATTTATATCTGATAAACACACGCTCTCTGTTTGCAGTTTATGAGTCATCCTGCTCTCAGTGAACTGTTGACTGAAGAAGACCAAAAGGTTTTACTTTTCTCCCTCCGCTTAAATAAATAAAAAAACATATCCACAAATAATATCTATCTTGTAAAACGGCAATTTTCTCTCTTCCTTTGTGTTGTGTTAGATTTTCAAGTATCTAAACAATCTGGAAGTAGAAGACTTCAAAGATGTGAAATCTGGTTACTCCATCTCATTTGTGAGTGTTCTTTGTCTTCGTCCCACTTTTTAGACAATTTCATGCGGAAAAATGCCATCTTAAGTTTAGTCTATAAAGATATTATCTTTTTTTTTTTTTTTTAATTTTTTTTAATATTTTTTTTTTATTTTCCACTCAGATATTCAAATCCAATCCATACTTCGAAGATCCCAAGATCACGAAAACATTCAATTTCCTAGACGAGGGAGTAACAAAAATCATCTCAACACCAATTAAATGGAAAGAAGGCATGGTAAGTTTTACACACCATGGCATGTCTCGATTTTGAAGAGTTTCCAAATACTGTGCATAAATTAACTGGGCATGTTTCGTTTTTTGAAGGGCATTCCTAATGGCATTACTGAGAAGAAGAAAGGAAGCAAACGTTCTCATGCTGAGGAAAGGTTGGTTCTCTCGTTCTTCCGTCCAATTCCGATCTCTAATATATTGCAATTATACGGTCACTATAAACAAATGCTACTATCACGAAAGCATAATATGGAGTTAGCAAAGCTCAAATTTTTCCGTGTGTGAAATATGGATCAGTACATGAACATGATAGTGTCATCTATACGTTTTGAGCTATTATAACTTTTGGAAAAAGTCGATCAAGAAACCGATAAACTGAATGCTCCAAAAATGGTCCATGAAGCATCTTAAAAAAAATAGTTGAATAGTAGATTATGTATAAATAATAGGGTAAATTACAACCAACCCCCTGAGGTATGGTCAAATTACGAAAAAAACCCCTCCTGTTTGGGTAATTACAACCACCCCCCTCAACTATAAATCTTTTTACATGTCCACCCTTACAGTTTCAAATTTAGTGGAATCATTCGAGATTATATGGAATATTATCACTTTTGTACCCGCTTTATCCCATTCGAACTCCACATTTTGAAGCAAGATGATCATAATATGTGTTTTTTGGCTTGTATATATCAGATTGTGGTGCATCATAAATTGTATTTTTACACAAAACGAGTACAAACTAGAGCATATTCCACGAAATCTAGATGATTATGTTGAATTTGACACCATAAGGGTGGAGGTGTAAGAAAAAAATCATAGTTGGGGGTAGATGTAATTATCCAAACAAGAGGGGTTTTTTCGTAAATTGACCATACATTAGGGGGATTATATCGCAAATTTGAATTAGTTGCTTATGTTGTGATGTTGAAACAGATGCATTTGCTATGGTAATTCTGACAGTTAACATGAATGCGATATACATTACAACTTTCTTAATCCACACTAATTTTTTCGGAAATCTATGATGGCTGGCTTACGATCAGGATATTCATACTGCAGTTATGTCATTTTTTGTTTTATTAGTTACCTAATATTCATAAACAATTTGAATAGTTCCGTTGAACAATAGAAGTGTTCCCCTTTTGTATTATGTTCTCGAATTTTTATTTTACTATGTCATAAGTCCCTATTACGAGATCTGGAAATTTTTTTCCAGTTGTTATTTGATAGGCTGTATAATTGAATATTGACGAATCTTGATGATTTAAAAAATAACGCTCTGCTGATTTTTCTCAAATACGGGACTGATTATTGTGAATCCCCTATATTTTTCTATGCAATGCAGCTTCTTCACCTGGTTTAACAACTCCGAGCATAAAGGTGATCTGTATGAGATTCATGACGAGGTATACATTCTGCCTCATGCTGATTGGACGAGTTTTGAGTTTTTTTTTTCTTTTTTTTTTTTTCGTTAATGTATGTTTTTTTTTTTAATTCTTGTCATAGGTGGCTGATATCATCAAGGATGATTTGTGGCCAAATCCTCTTACATATTTTAACAATGTACGTTTTTTGCTCCTCGACTATCTTTTTGCCTTGTTTTCTAAATATTAATTAGTTAATCGACGTTCAATGTGATGTCAACTTTAAATATAAAAAGTATTATCTATTTTACTTATTTATATATTTCGTTTTAATTTGCCTTTGCTGTAGGAGGCTGATGAAGAGGAACTTGAAATGGATGATGATGAAGACGATGAGGTAAATTCAGAAAACACCCTAATAGAACTTTTAATTAATAACTAAAATGCCATTTCTGCTTCAATAGTGTAAATGCTTCGATTCGCTTGTTTTCCAGAAACGATAAATTGAAATAATCATAATAAAATTTTCTAAATATTTGAATATCATATTTGAAACTATATGCAGGAAAAGGGGAGTGATGGTTCTGAAGATGACGAAGAAGAAGACGACGATGAAGAATGAAGGCGAAACTAAACTTGTTCATACAGTTTGAACATAAAAAAAAAAGGTTTTTCTATGTTAGATAATATATTCTCAACATCCTTTGAAAAGTCCATTTTGTCCCTGTCAGCACACTTTCAGACAGACCCTTGTCATATATTATTTAACATTTTGATGGTCTTTAAATGTGTAAAATATATATGATGCTTGTTTTTTGACATATTTAGTTGCAAAAATAATTTTGGAATATCTTTTATTATTTTTTTTTTTTTTTTTGGAACAAGTCTACCTGTATCCAGGTGAGGTGTTTGGCTACATGTGTATTATTATTTATTATATCACCAAATAGCTAGGTAGAGAAGATGCCTTCTCCTTGGAATAAAATTTGACAAGTGCTTGACTATTAACAAATGAAATTAAAGCTAATTTCGTGTAATTTGCATATACAATAGTTGGCTGCAAGTTCCTTGGTTTATAAAATAAAATAAAGTTAGGTGTCTAATTATGCTAATTCAAAAAAATATAGGGGTCGACTTGTATTTTTGAAAACTTCATCGGATATAGTCTGGACTTTTTACTCTCTGATTTCGTCACCACTAAACTACAAGACGAAGCCATCCTCTGCTGACAAATATTAAATAACACACGCAAACACACACACACACACACACATATGTATATATATATATACAATGTAACAGAAAGGCAAAGCAAAAATAATGGAGATTCCGACGGTGGATCTATCGGATTTCTTGAGAGATGAAGGAGAAACTAGTAAAGAAGGGAAGAAGAAGGCAATAAACACAATCAAAGAAGCATGCTCAGATTATGGTTTCTTCCAAATAGTCAACCATGGCGTACCCCTCGATCTGATGATCCAGGCCGTCCACCTGTCCAAGATATTCTTTGCATTTTCCGATGACGAAAAGCTCAAATACAGCCCGGAGAGTGGTGCACCTCTTCCGGCGGGTTACAACAAGCAGCCGGAAAACTCGCCGGATAAAAACGAGTACTTGCTGATGTTTCAGCCTCAATCTGGCTTCAATAATTTGCCCACAACTCCTCATGGTTTCAGGTAATTACAAAGTCTTCATCAAAGTTATTCAAATATATATATATATATATATATATATATATATATATATATAATAAACAACTACTTCAATATATAAAAATGAGAAATCATGGGGGCGACGACCCCTCAATCTCGATATAGTATATGCCGTATGCGGAAGGCGCCTAAAGTACGTAGGGAAAATTGTAGTTTTGGTACTGTATGTTTGCCTGCTTAAGAATTTAGTATCTTCTTCTAAGTTGTCTTATTTCGATTTTACATGCAATAACCATGCAAAAGTAGCATTTTTGATCTTATGAAATTACCCAATGTTTAATAATGTAGCTAACAAACTTGCCCAAATTTATTTAATTTATACCTGCATTTGAAATTACAAACGCTCATCTACCTTGGTTTATAGAATATTCGACCTCTCATCATAACCAAAGTTCTAGAAAGCTAGGTTATTAGATGTCGAATCTATAATTTTTTAGCATCCATATATGTAAAATCCATGCAAAATAGGGCCAAAAATCCTATATTTGCAAAGTTATCGCATGTAAAATTTAAACATGACAAGTTAGAGGACCACATCTCTATTAGGTCAACATAGAGGACCAAAACTACAATTTTCCAAAGTATTTAATATATAGTGGTTTTGTCAGTTATTTTACGTAGCATTTTCCATATAGATTCTCAATGTGTTACTCAATTTTTTCTTTAAACCAATTATTGCTTTCATTAAGAAATAAAAAAAATGTTTCAATATATTATTAACTTGTTTGATATGGCCAGGGTCATGGCCCCTCTCTAATTTTAATTTTTTTACTATTATATATGTATTTATAATTTATTGCCTTTTATATTGTGCTTCTATAATTTTAACAATTAGTTTTATTTTTAAATAAAAGTAAGTGTTTTTAATTGAAAAAAAATAAAGAAAATTAATAAATAAATCGAACAAGTAAGATAATGAACTTAAAAATTATGAAATGATGGACTCAAGCCCATATTAAGTCCACCCAAATTGTATTATTTAGTCCACACTAAAGTCAAATTAATGCCAAAAAATGCCCTAAATTTTTCTATCTTCTAGTTGTCAAAAAAAAAAAAAAAAAAAAAAAAAAATCCTTTTTTCTAGGGTTGTTGCCCCCAACCCCCAAAAATTGAAATCCACCATGTAATAATATCGTAGACTCTCCACTCTTGAAATAATCATTGTTGCCGTTAATTTCTTTATGCTCAGTTAAAGTTTGTAATCGCGTATTCGATCCCGAGTGATGGAATCCTGGCTTTTCCCACTAATTGTGGTGACATAACATAATAAGTAAAAACAGGGAAGTTGTTGAAGAGATGTTCATGCATTTGAGGAAAACGGGAGAACTCATCGAGAAAATTCTGAATGAATGCTTGGGTTTGCCTCATGATTTCTTGAAAGAGTACAATAAAGAACGGAGCTGGGATTTCATGGCGGCACTGCGGTATTTTCCGGCGACGGAAACGGAAAACAACGGCATAACGGAGCATGAAGATGGTAACTTAGTCACATTTGTAATACAAGATGAAGTTGGAGGACTTGAGGTCAAGAAAGATGGTCAATGGATACCTGTTGTTCCTGCTCAAGCCACAATTGTTGTCAATTTAGGTGATGTTATTCAGGTAAATTCATTCATTCATTCATTCACCAAATATATACTTCTTCTCATTAATTGGGTATTTGATTTGTATTTCTTTTATACTAATTAAATAGGGCAAATTATGGCTACCACTAAGGTAATGTATAATTACGAAAAAAACCCTCCTGTTTGCAACCTCAACTATGTATTGTCTTATACATTCACCCTTACAATGTCAAATTTACCTAGGGCTGTTCATGAGTTCATCCGGTCGGTAAATTGATCCAATCGAACCAAACGAAAATTCGTACAAGCCGATTACCAAACCGTTAATTCGGTGTGGCATATATATATATATGTAATATTAGTATTTAAACTAAAATAAATTAAATTAAATAAAAAATCAAAATTTAAGATATTTTTAATAAAATTTTGGGAATTCGGTTATTTATCGAACCAAACTCTAAACGGTATTAAATTTTGGTACCGCAATTTCTGTACATTTTTTTCCAAATGAAAGCCCCTAAATTCATCAACCGGAGGGATTTTTTCTTAAGATAATACATAGTTGAGGGGGTGCTTGTAATTATGCAAACATGAGGGGTTTTTCGTAATTTGTCCAACTAAATAAATATATATATGTTCATGTAAATTCAAGAGTATTTTTAATTTACAGGTGTTGAGCAACAACAAATTCAAGAGTGCTACTCACAGAGTTGTGAGATACAAGGAGAAGAACCGGCATTCATTCGCGTTTTTCTTCACCGTAGAGGGCGATAAGTGGGTCGAACCATTGCCTCAGTTCACAGACGAAATTGCAGAAAAACCGAAATACAAAGGATTTTTGTACAAAGATTATCAAGCCATGAGAATGAGGAACAAGACTCATCCCCCTTCTAGGCCTGAAGATGCTATCACCATTAAGCATTATGCTATAGAATGAATTAATTATTTGATTAATTGTAAAACTTTGTTTGAGTTTTTCTTTTTTTGCATGAGTGCAATAATAATTGTTGAACATATAAATTCCATTTTATTAGAGTGATGGTTTGAAATAACTAAGGCTTGATTTTCAGTAAGTTAAGAAGCCTTATTTTGTATATATATATGTGTGTGTGTGTGTGAATTGCGCAAAAATATGCTGCATTAGCCAAAAATAGGTTGAATTGGTCAACATTTGACAAATAACAATCCTTTTTTTTAGGGAATACATAACTATCAAAATTAGAGCTGAGATTGAGTTGGATTGGCCGAGTATCGACTAAAAAAGTAAAAAACGATCTATCCGACCATCCAATTGCTTAAATTTAAAAAATTATTGCCGACCCAATCTTTGTGGGTTCGTTGATGGTTGACAACTAAATCTTTGATTCTAAAATGAGTCGGTTGGTGAGTATACCCACCGGCCACCACCTAATTTACTTATAAAAAATCCAAAATTTGGAGTACGAGTATGCATATTATGCCTAATGTTCCTCCATCATTATTTATCAATTCAAAATATATATTTAATAGCAATTCCAAAAAAATATATATATATTCTGAAATTCAAACCAATTCCAAACATGAACTTTCAAAGTTTGGTGAAAGATCTATGCCAACTTTTATTTTATATTTTTTTATCTAAAATATTATTAATATTATTGGTTGACTGATAATTATCGACCAACCAACTTGTGATAATATTAGAAACCATCAACCGAACCATTATAAATGGATTTGTTAAAATTTTCGACCCGATCCAATAAGTCGGTTAAAAAAATAGGGGTCTTAGGATATAGGTCTCTGGTGACAAAACTTATTTGAATTAAATGACAAGTCTAACTAAACATTTGCTTCACTTCCTTTATAAAATGGGGCGTCCTAAATCCCACACTAAAATTTACTAAATCCCACACATATTAAAAAAAATCTTTCTCTACTCATATTTTTTTCTAACTTCTCTCTAAGATAATTTTATCAATGTCACCCAAAATTCTTTAATTTTTTTAGGTGAATAATCGTAAAACATGAGTTCAATGTTATTTAATATTTATTCAATTTCATTAAGCCCTTTTAATTATTCAAATTCATATCAATTCGATTTTTTTTCTCAAATTCCCATTTTATTTTAGTTGGACACGTGAAGATTTTTTTCTCAAATTCGAACTTGGAATGCTAGGGACGTTATTAGTGTGTGATTTTGTGAAAAAATAGGGAAAAAAAAAAAAGAAAGGTAGAGAAGGAGAAGATAATATTTTAGATAGATACATATTTTCAGTTGTGTGCAGGATTTGGTAAAATTCGTGTGGGATTTAGCATTTCAGTTATAAAATTCATTCCAAGAATGCACCTCCACTCACAAATTCGAAATATTCATTAAGTAAATTTCAAACTTCATTTATCATCTTATTTATTATGGATTTAATATTTTCATATTTTCATCCAAAATAATTTTTTTCTTCAAAATATCCGTTTGTCTTCCTTTTTCTCGTTATTCATTTAAGCATCTTACACATTATTATCATTTTTTTTCTTTTTTTTTGCTACATAATATTGAGAATTACAAAAAAAAAAGCATGCTATTTTTTTATTTTTTTTTAATTTCAATTTATATATTTTTCAATTTATATATTTTTCAATTTTTCTGTAGTAGTCTATGGTATACTACGATGTGCTGTAGTATACTATAGTGCAGTAGTGTACTATGATATACTACGGTGTAGTATAGTATACTACAGTGTACTATTCTTTACTACCAAACCCTAGCCACAAAAAACTCAAGTCGTCGTAAACCCTAGTAGCCAACGCAGCCCCCGCCAACCCTAGCAACCCACACTCGCAGCCGCCGCGACTATAGTCACCTACCAACTTTGGGAAAACCTAGATCTGACATTTGAACAACCCAAATCAAGCAAAATCTTTCAAAACACAAGGAAATTAGATCAATTGATTATTCCAAAAATACTTTCCATAACATCTCAACCATAATCACAGGCCCGCCCGCACAAACCCCACCACTAGGGATGGCAACGGGGCGGGTATGGGGCGGGTTTTGCAATCCCCATCCCCGCCCCGCTATGGAAATCCCCATCCCTATCCCCGTCAAAAGTCCCCACGGGTATTAAAAGAATCCCCATACCCGTCCCATAAAATCCCCACGGTTATCGGGGCGGGTAAAAATCCACGTCTATTTTTTTTTTCTTTTTTTTTAATAAATAAATATGCAATTTACTTATAATTTAAAAGTTTATTTCAACAAATATTATAATATTAATATTTAATTATATAATGGAAACCTAAAAATCCCCATTTTTAACTAGTATTTAATATATTACTACTATTTAATTATTTATATTTAATATAATAATTAAAAAATATATATTATATATATAAATAATGTGGGGCGGGTACGGGGACGGGTACGGTGCGGGTCTACGGAGCGGGTATAGGCAAACCCATCCCCGTACCCGTACCCGGTCAAAAAAAAATTTCAATCCCCATACCCGCCCCATTTTTTTTCGGGGCGGGTAATACCCGAAAATTTCGGGGCGGGCCGGGGCGGGGATCCGTCGGGACGGGTCAAATTGCCATCCCTACCCACCACGCCTTCCATTCACCGCCGCCGCCTCCACCCGCCGCCACCGCCTCCACCGGCGGCCGCCGCCTCCACCCACCGTTGTCGCCTTCACCGGCCGCCGCCGCCTCCACCAAATCCTATCGATCCACCGCTGGAAATTGCAGATCTGTTGTTCTCCGCCACCATAGCCCACCAACCATAGCCACCGTCCATAGCCGCCGTCGTCGGCGAGAGAGATGTGGAGAGAGAGAGAGAGATTGAGAGAGGAAAAAAACGAGAGGGAGATAACGAGAGAGAAGCAGAGAAAAAAGAAAATAAGAGAAATAGATCTGATAAGTTTGAGAAACGTGAATATAAATATTATATTCAGGGTATAAGGGCAAACTAGGGATTAAAGAAAATTAAAGAATGTGGCTCATATATTATTTGAAAATAGGGATTTAATTAAAAGGTTAAATTTAAGGTTGTCATTTGGTTCAAATTATGTTTGATTTGTAGGGCTCTTAGCATATTACCCCAAAAAGATATTATCCACCTGAAAATATGGTTGGTAATTAGTCGGTTGTTGGGTAAAAACCAACACAACCCCACCCTTAATCAAAATAGTTCAGATTGATTGAAAATAATTTAAATATGTGCAAAATGGTTAAATAAGTAAAACAAAATAATAAATAGGGCAAAATGCACTTTGCCCCTTTAAAAAACTCATAATTGACACTTTGCTCCCCTAAGAAACCAAAAAAAAGACTCCCCTCCCCTTCCAAATTGTGCCCCAGTTGCACTTTGCCACAAAATTCGAATTCCGGTGTATTTTTAACCGGATTTCAAATATCCCCGTCCACTTAAGGGGTATATGCATCATTTTAGGGTATAGATGTTTTTCTTTAAAAAATTTCACTTAATTTTAAATTTCTCCATCTAACTTGTAAGAGCATCTCCAAGAGGAGAATGCAAACCTTGTTGTGCATATTAATAACTTGTTGTGCATATTTTACATAATATGCACAACAAAGAGAAAAATAATCATCTCCAAAAGAGAAATGTATAATTGGCAAATTGTCTAAATTCTAACTTTGGTTTCTCAAATTTGAGAAACCAAAACTATCATTTAGCAAATCTAAAAAATATTAAAATAATGTTATATTGTACTTTATAATATATTTATCATTAAAAAATATTTTATATTATCTTACTTGCTTCTTATATTTTATAGATGTACTAAAGATAATTATTATTTAACTTAGTATTTATAATAACTAAATATTAAAAAAAGTATTTATCATTTTAGTTATTTATCATTTTAATTATTTATAATAACTAAATATTAAAAAAAATATTTATCATTTTAATTAACATAAAAAAATATTTCATAATGAATTATAAAATTTTAATATATATCAATTAATTTATTGAAATTTCTTGTATTAAATTTAAAATCAATTTTCTATACTTGTTAATTAGTATTATTAGTTATAGATATTAACTAAAATAAAAGTCAAATAATTTTGTAAACAAAAATCATGAAAGAATCAAAATATAAATATATTGTTTAGAATAATACAAATTTTTATTAATATTTTATAATAATTGTGTAAAATATAAACAATATTGTTGGAGTGCAGTGTTAAAAGTGGAATGCTAAAACACTGTTCATTGGTTATATTATAGATATAGACAACCGTTTTTAGACAAACTGTTGGAGATGGCCTAAGGACGAAATTGCAAATTTTCAGAATTGCCTTAAAAACCCTAATCCCCTTTCTTCTTCCCACCACCGCACCACCACCACCACCGCCACCTCTACCACCACTCTTCATCATCATAAAAAATCACAATCATCTCCGGGGCAAAAGACCCACCAACTAATGCTTGCTCTCACTATTTTCAAGTTCTTCATAACACTAGTTTTCTTCGCCACAACCATAACCTTCATCACGCTCACCCTATTGTTGCTCAATTTTTGTATTCCCATTACTAATTTTCGTAGCTCAATTGATGCCGCTCCCGCCTTCTGTGTCACCAAAATCGACCACTTCTACCACGATGAAGACGGCGACGTCAGTCATACATAAATCCCTCCAATTTCTTCGGCCACCTAAAATCCTATGTGCTATGTTGGACGACGGATTGTTTGAATTTAATGTTAGTTAGTTATGGGCGACGGATTATCTGGAAAAGAGACTCCCCCCTTTAAAACCGAAAAAGAGACTTCCCCCCTTTAAAATTGTGTCCCAGTTGCACTTTGCCCCAAAATTAGTATATTTTTGACCGGAAATCAAATTTCTCCATCCACTTAAGGGTATATGCGTGAAATCATCTTTTCCACATATTTGAAATTTTTAAGTGTGCGATTTTTTTTTTCCAATGAAAGTTTTTATTTGTTTGTTTAATGTTTTCATTTACAAATTATAGTTTTTAATGCAATATATTCAACTTT